GAAAATCATCAAAATGAATTCCTGCACTACAGAGGGAAACAACAATTTACCATCTTCCAACATTACTTTCTTCTTTGGAGGAAGTAAGTAGAATCCATTGCTGGCATCGAGAACATGCAGAAAGTTACAAAAGTGAAGAATTGTCAGCTCTGATACAAAAAGAAAATAAGATGGCTAAAGAGCTGATATAAAGATAATAAACATTTAGACTTCAGGGAGTAATTACTTGAATTAATTGTGTTCAGACAGTGACGCATATTCACTGCATAACCAACACATGAAAGAGAACAGAAAAGCACAGAGGGGAAAAGAACCCAAATTGAAGAAGATAGCATGCATTCAATGGTGAATCAGACAGCATAATGTCTACAATGAAAGAACATGCGATTGAATAGAAAATATTACGTACCTTACCGATGTTTTCTGGAGGTCTCATAAACACTTTTTCCTGATGCTACAGAATAATCCATTCAAAAGATTGTCCACTAAACTGAAAGGAGACAGACAGTCTATCGAGTTAGGTGTGTATTTTGGAAACCCCCTTCAGCAGAACACAATTCACAAGTCAATCTTCCTTTCTTCTGCTGGCATAAAACTTCGAAAGAGAATTAAAACATAATTAAGTATTAAATTGATGAATTTACCGGTAAGAAAAACCAGTATAGTACCCTCAGGGTATGTTTCATCAATGTAACATACCAGGTCTTTGAGAAGATCATAATCCACAATGTCTTCGTTCAATTTCCTCTGACATAGTGAGAGATGGTTCATCACAGTATTCTTTCAGTTAAGTTTTTAGGATCTTAATTAGCATCACTGAAAACTACTTTTAAGAAGCAATCACCAATTTTTCTTTTGAGTTTGTCCACTGTAGTTTTGATAATTACTGGAATCATAATGGGGATTTATGTAAGCAATGATTCATCACCCAATGCAGAGAGGACAAGGTTCTTTTCCCCCCTATGATTGCCAATAGGAGCATTCTGCACGCATACAATTGGAATGATATAAGAAGCTCTTGAGCTACATAAAGAAAAAGCTAACACACCGAACTTCAAGTCAATAAGGAAGATCTACTTTAACTGTAAGCCAATACCAAAGCAACACTCATGATTGTTTGTCAGGATCTATTCCTAACTAATAATTGATTTTGATCAGAAATTAGTTCAGCTAAAAGTAAAGATTGGTATAACAGAAGACTTTAAAACAGAGTTCCAAAGATGAAGCCAGAAATTGCCAACGAGAGCATATCTGGCAAAGAAACACAATTTCAAATTTCAGTCTATCTAAAATGACAATAATGGCATTTTAACTAAAATACCTTTTCCCTAGTAGATGTCCCATAACTTAAAGAATCAGGAGAATCATATGCAAGGCGGTAATTGATACTCTCATAAATTTCCTTGAGAAAATAAGTTGAAACAGGATGTGTTCGGCCTTGAGCAGTAATTACAAGGCAGTGGCCAAAGTAATGAGAAAACAAATGTGAATCTACTGTGGCAGACCTAAATAACATGTAAAACAAAAAACAAATTCCTCCATGAGCAGTCATAAATATAAAAAATGAAACAGAACAAGATAATGGCGGCAAGATATTGATGAACAAAACCAACCATACATGAGCATTAACTTTGAGTTGTGCCATACCAAGGGTTGATTGCTTCTGGATGAGACTCTTCAAGACAATGAGCAGAAAATCACCCTGGTTCTAAAAGAGGTTAGTGTTTCTTCCAACTGATTTCCAAATATATCCAGTAACATACAACAAAGTAGAGGAAGAACCAGAGATTGCTGGTACATAAGTAGACTACAGCAAGAAGTGTTATTTCCCTCTTCAATTTGATGGTCCTAGCATCTAGAGAGTAGTGGGCAGATAAAAAGAGGGTCTCGTGAAAATGAAAAATGAACCATATCTGATCTCTAAAAGAAGATGAGAACAGTGGCACGTAACTATCATAGACACAAAATATCGGGATTTCAGAATTAATGAATGTAACAAAAGACAAGAAAGGAAGTCGTCCTTTGTGTTACTAGAATAAAGGGCATATAATGGGCTGTCCACAGCAAGAGCATTCAGCAATTGCCTATAGCTGCAACAATTTGCAGAACGAGGAGTGAGACATCAAAGCTAGATTTTCAGAAACAACAAGGAGTATAAGCATCTTGCTAACGTCTCAGAGTCAGACTGTCATGGAGTCTAATAAATACTGGCAGCTCAGTCAGGAAGCAGCTTCGCTGTGTGCCTAAATTTGGAAGCAATAGCACTGGTAGTACACCAACCAAATGACGAAAAACGGAAGGGCTTCTGAAAGAATGTGAAACAGCAATTGAACAGTCCTTTTCTCAACCATCCTAATGCCCAATGAAGTATTAGTCATTTGATTACTTCCTTCCAGAATTCATGACCAAGTGCAGTTCTTCCAAATTTGTCAAAATAATAATTCTCAATATGCTTTTTTAATAAGGTAAGTAATGATATCAATGATGGGGAAATCGTAAAAAAAAGTAGTGAGACCTAGATCAAAATATGGTTCTCAAAGAAGTAACTTAGTCCTCTATACATACAAGAACTATATCTATGGTTCTTGGTAACATCATATTACTGTAAGCTGTTATAGTCAGTATGGATCAGGTTTCCTGCACATGTCAATTTGGATTCACAGGTGCCAACAAAGGTAATCAATTTACTTGGTTTGCAGCAAGAAAGAACAATAACATGTCAGCTTGCGTTTGATGTGCAAAAAATGAGTGAAGACATAAAATAATCTCCTTTTGCATTTATCAGATGGCCAACTCGCCTGTGGTGAGAGATATTAAGATGGTTCGAGATGCTACGGACGACGACCAAGCCCAGTTAAAGTGGCACTATTTAATTGGGCCTTTAGAGATGACAAAGGGCATGATATGTTGCCCCACTAGCCACTCATGTGGGTCTTATGAAAAGAAAGAAACACGAGACCATTTAAAAAGAGAATAGTCTCTTATTTGTTGTCTCTTTTATTCCTCTCTCGATGAACCCACAAGGTTTCAATTTGTAGAAAAATTGGGTGGTTTTTGGGAGATCATATTCCATTGTAGGATTTCCGCCTTTTGGTACTGTTAGAACATGAATAAGTTTATACAATCTTATTAGAATAGGAATATGTTTATAAAATCCTATTTAGAATAGGAATAGGAATACAAATAGAAATAGGAATAGTAAATAGTATTCCACTTGGTAAAGGATTGTATTCTAGTGTCTATAAATAGGGTCTCTCCTTAATAATGTAGACAACAACTATTCAATAATATTATTCTCCTATATTTCTCACATGGTATCAAAGCCTTTACGATCTTGGTAGAAAATCAAAGAGCTTCAGTTGCCGGCGAGCGGCTATTACTCATATATGCCGCCCGTCTGGCCAACAATTATGTTAGCAAAAGTTGGGTCACCGTGTATCTTTTCTGTGACTATTTTCTCATATTTGATTTATGTAACCGTGTCATTATTCCGATGACTACTTTCTTATATCTAACTTGTAGCACCGTGCCATCTTTTCGGTGACTATTTTTTCATATTTAATTTGTGTAGCATTGTGCCATCATTCCAGTGACTACTTTTTCATATTTAATTTTTGTAGCACCGTGAATTTTTCCAAACTATTTTCTCATATCTGAGTTGCATAGCATCATGTGTCTTTTCAGTGATTCCTCAGATTTGATTTGCATAGTTTCATTCGTCTTTCCGGTGACTCATCATTCCAACCCTACCCGTATAATTTCTCTTTTTCAGCAGGGTCGTGCCATCGATCCGCCCTTTCCTATATAATTTTTATTTTCTAGTTGGGTCGTGACATCATTCCAATCCTACCCATATAATTTTATTACTTAGATTGTGACCACTTTTAGCCATCAAATCTAATACTCCAGCATATGAGCATGTTCCAGTCAGTTTTTCGGTGACTTGTTTAATATCGACTCATCTATTGATTCCAACAAGATTCATATACTTTATACTAGATTTTGAGCACTTTGTTGCTCAGAGGGAGTTTAGTAGCCTTGTATGTCGATTATGTGAGTCACTCTATGGTCTGAAACAGTCTTTGCAAGTTTGATTTAGGAAGCTTAACGCTGTAATTTTATCACTCTGTGTTTTATCAGCATTATACATCAAATTTAGTATTCATGAGAAGATTAAACACATTGAGATTGACTGACATTATGCATCAAATCCAGTATTTAATGAGAAGACAAGCACATTGAGATTGACTGTCAATTTTGTGAAGTCGGATGATCAACTTGCAGATATCTCACCAAGCCCCTCATCGGTCCTCGTATTAATTACATTTGTAACAAGCTAGGTATATGAATTGTATGCACTAGCTTGAGGAAGAGTGTTAGAACATGAATAAGTTTATACAATCTTATTAGAAGAGGAATATGTTTATACAATCTTATTTAGAATAGGAATAGGAATACAAATAGAAATAGGAATAGTAAATAGTATTTCACTTGGTAAAGGATTGTATTCTAGTGTCTATAAATAGGGTCTTGCTGTAATAATGTAAACAACAACAATTCAATAATATTATTCTCCTATATTTCTCACAGGTACATTGTCTGTGTATGAGCTATTTCCCATCATATCAAAATTATATACGTTATCAGAAAACAAAGTGGAGCATGATTTAGTATGGACATAACCAATTTATCATGATGGATACTAATTGAGACTGTCAGGCATTTCACTGGTTTATCTTCTCCTTTTTCCTCAAACTTTTAACTTGTCTAACCAACCAGACAACAATGGTCTATATCTAGTCGGACACCATTAGTAGGTACCTGATGTATAAGTATCAGCATAAGAGAATCTAAAAAACATGCTTTCATATTCACATGGTCAATTTTTGACAGCCTGATCTATTTTACAAACCAGTAATGGAAATTAAATATACGTGGTCGCCACACTTCATAAACACATGTCATGCAGTGCACAAAAAACTCACCAGAAGTGACTCTCATGCACTTCATCAACAATGATATGACTAACACCAGCCAAGTTTTTATTTCCCTGCAAAATATCACATTTAGTTGCACCAAAAGATATTGGCCAATATTTTGACATTCTGTCGGGTTTTTTTTTATAAAAAAAAGTAAAGTGGAAAAGTATGTCATTATGACAAATAAATTCAAAACGTAGAACAGTGCAGTCAGTAAGCATGCAATATAATTAGTAGGCGACTTACTGAAAACATTCTCAGAAGAATGCCAGTTGTACAAAAGAGGAGCTTTGTTCTCTCATTCCTGAAAGAGGATAAATAAATTAAAAGATGATATTTTGATTTAATAATCATAAGTTCACAAGACAATAACAGAATCATTATCATATTTCAGTATTAATGATGATTATAGTTTTTAAAGCACGAATATAAAAGGATACTTATTCTGGTTAGACCACTGATGGGAAATTCCTATGTCCTTATATGATAACAACGAGACCCATAAAAAGCTAAGTGAAAACAGGTTTGCAGTGCTTAAGGAAATCTAAGGGAACAAACTCAGCAGGAATAATTAGATATCTGACAAAACAAAAGCAGATCACAGTGGGAGTTGTAAAAGTAGCAGCAGAGCATTGATGCACAAAATTGGCTATCCATGTGAACCCAAGTATCATAAAACTTAACACCTAAATCCTTCCATTTCTCAGATCCAATGAGCAATATTTTATTTGTAATCCTACTCCTCCCATGGGTCATGTCATGTATGGTAGACCTGATTAAAACATGTTTAAGGTGATCAAATTAAATGATCATGCACAAACTAAGTGAAATGAGAAAGCAGAATCCATACATCCAGCCACAGAGATAATTGACTAGTTTTACTAAGCACTGGTAGCTTCGCCGACAGTAAAACGGTAATATAAATCAATTTCCAGACAAACAAATTTTGAGTCAACATGACATCCAATTTAATGATTTTGTATCCTTTTTTTTTTTGGGACAAGTGATTCTGTATCCATTTATAAATGACATCCAATACCTTCCACTATCAAGGCGAACTTGGTAACCAACCAAGGACTCACTTGAACCTGGTGAAGATTCACAACGCTCATCAGCAACTCTTTCAGCCACAGAAGTAGCCTAACAAAGAGAAAATGACAATCAGCAAATCTTGTTGTCAGTGAGAGAAAACCTAAAATGTGGGTCTAACGAGCAAGACAAAAGCATTGCCTAATGACATCTCAACAGAAGTGAAGAGGAAGAGCCTCCAATCTCAGCTAAGCTATTGCAGAAAACCTAAATTAGCAAGAAAAAGATAAAGAAAAACTATCTGATTTAATTTCTAAATTCCATTTACGTGTTCTTCTAATATGATTGGTTACTTCATTTAATATGGTAGGAGATCCAATATCCAAGAGTTCAACTAAGCATTGTCCTTGATGTGATACACTTATTCTAAATTGCTATTTATTTTTGTAACCATTGCATCTTCTTGATGCCAATCAATGAACAACTTACTTTATCAAAAAAGAAAAAACTACAGGGACAAATAGTGTAGATATAGCTAAACATATTCAACTGCTATCTTACAAGAAAAGAAGGGATTAATAACAAACTCCTATTTTGATGTGAATACATACAATTCCCCCTATTAGGGTATATTTTACACCCACAATCTGAAACGTTGTGTAACGACCAAACAGTAGAACTGCCAGTATCATTAACTTCTCTTTCCTTTCTTTCTTATGCACTTGCGACAAATGCAAAACAGTATCAAGAAAGCATTAGACATACCTCAACAGTAGAAGAAGCATGATCCTGACTAGGAAGCTCGATTTTACTAGCCCTCCAGCTTTTCTGCTCTTACCCCTCCCACTGGTTTTGTGCATTCTACTAACTGATTAACTTTAAATATTTCCATTTCCAGGTACTTTCGCATATTTTGGTTCCTCCCACCCTGATCTTTGACAAAGTTGTTGAAGAAAAACCTTTGGAACTTTTATGGATCTCCCTGCAATTATGCCAACAGTTATAACATTTTTAGGGAAAGAACAACTTAGGAACAAAAGCAAGAAGACCTCAAGAAGAAAAGGGACGACACAAGTCTACCATGGTTCACATTTTGCATCACATATTGTTAATGGAGGGGGTGGTTAAACTTCACGCTGCAGACCAGGTTCATACGGGCTCATCGTAGATTAACCTTCTTACCAGTATCAGTTTTTACCTTAATAAAAATATCAGTTCTTTTTTTCTAAAACAGTAATTTTTGCACCAGCTTGACTATTCCAGGGATACCTGCTACCTCCCATTTACACAGGCACTGGATAACTCAGCACACCGAGGCTTAGGCAGATTGGAAGAGATCACCTAACATTTTCTGTCTTGGAATTTGAACCTTGGTCTGCAAGGTATCTACCAACTTCATTAAAACCGTTAGGCCATGCCCTATGGTGAAAAAACACTATCGGTTGTTTCAAAACTAATAAACATAGAGAAAAGTTAAACTTATTCTGTCAAAGTAACTACATAGAAAAGTAAAACAGTTGAAACATACTTCATTCACTTTAAGAGGTTACCTTATTTAAGTTGCAACTACAGACCAGACACTTTTATCCAATTGTATCCCTCTTTATACCAATAGAGGAGCTCCAAATTTTCTTTGTTTTTTAGGTAACTAAAGAGGTGCTCCAGATTATAGTCTGCAGTGAAAATTTACAACCACCTCATAAGATCAGGTACCAAACTTTTACCTTTTTCCATATACCTTCCAACTTCTCCAAGTTTTTCTGACTACATAATTCTCTCATCTTCTCTTTCTTCTTGCAGTTCTAGTATAGTAGCCGAAACATCAGCGGAGGAACCTTCTTCAAATAAGAAATCATCAAGCTCTACGGTTCTCCTCCTGAAGCCACCTTGCAATCTATAAGAATACTTGATGGATTGTTTTCGGTGAACTCATTAGATCTGTTATTGACAGCCACTTCGTCCATCCCTGTCTCATGTTCATGAATATTAGACGTTCTGAAATTGTGTGAAGTAACATCATCAAGCCATCCAAGAATATAAACCATATATCTACTCCATCTACCAGCCCAACCTAAAGCCTGAACATACTACAATGAACTGGACAATGGATACAGATAAAAGGAAACCCTACATCATCAGATAGTCATGACTAAAGAGGCTGTGTGACACAAAGCAAGTGAACTGATGATTTATTAGTGTAGAAACACGGAAAAAGTTGCCATGAGATTTACCTGCTCTAGGGAACCATCGTCAAAAAAACCAGATCTCCAACTTTCAGCTTCATCCTGCAAATACATAGTAAAAAGAAGAATGTATAGACTCAGCGTTGCACACTTTGAATTCCAGTGGCTTTTAGATTTTTAATATTGGGCACTTTAAGATTAAAAACAGAGAATTTGTTTCTTATTGAAATGGGATTAAAGATAGATTTTGAGGAAGTCTAGCCACCATAAGTCAGGACTCGTGCCCTAATTACTTTTTTGTTTTTTTTATGAAATGATGTGTTTCATTAATGGCATCAAAAGGATGTGAAAGTCACAAAGATAAGTAGATGTAGCTCCAATACATTGTTACAGGATTCTGCTCGGGGAGCTAACCAAAAACAGCAAAAAGTATATGGATTAAACTAGAGCGAGTGAAATGATGAAATCTAGGAGAGAGACAGCATCATGTCCTAATTCTTTATCATGTATCATAGTTAAGTTTTTCTAATACAACAGCTAGCTGTGAAACCAAAAAAATAAGTTAGAAGTGTAAAGCATGCAGTAGCTAACTAGGCATATGCACCCCTCCCTATAGAACCTCTCTCAGTTACCTTTTAGTTTCAGTGTAGACAGATAATTCACAAAAGCTAAAATCAGATACAGAGCAATAGTTTTGCACCAAAGAACCTATTGTAGCTGCCAGTCGAACTAGAAGTATAAAATAGAAATGTATAAATACCTCTTCCTGTTGTTCCATATACTGACGGATCCAATCAGCTTGTGCGCGTACAGTTGTACGTAGAGATTCACTATCACTTCGGCACAACTGAAACTTCCGGTATTTTCTTATCTTTAACTTCTGCCACATATGAATCTACTGAAGGAACCCAATCTTGTCGAACAGTTGACATGATACCAACAGAACCTGCGAAAAAATGCATATTCATGAGCTTGACTTCTTTATCCTAACACAAAATTCCTCACTATTGATCCTGGCAATTAAGTAGAACTTTTTTCATCAATACCTCCTTAGTTCAATTGGGAAGTAGCACTAGAAAACTTCAGAGTAAGCTCATTGCCTCGCAAATTCAAGCATAGCCAATCTAAATCAGCTTCAAATGTGGCTCACTTTTTTGTAATATTCTTTAAAGGGTAAATATTAGTAAAAACAATTGCACAGAGCATGTGTCTGATTATATCTCCAAAAAATCAAAAAGGAAACACATTCTATGTGTCGAAAACAGTATACATATATACATGACAGTTGAAATTACATGAGTCTGCCCCTTGTCTAGATAAGTATAATTACACAGTTGACTATGACATAAAAGAAATCAATTCTTGAAATTATATAACAGTTGAATGGGAGATAAAAGAAATCAAATTCTTGAAATAACACAGTTCAATAGGAGATAATAGAAATCAAATTTTGAAACTACACACAATTCTACTTTCATGAAATTATATAATGCCATTATATATATACGGCCTTTACTAAAACTGAAATTACAAAGTTCTAGTACTTTTCTTTTCTTTGATGATTATGTGATTCAGAGCGGGTAAAGGGCATGTTCAGTTTGATCGGAAAAGCCCTCGCGGAGACTGAGTGGAGCGGCCGGAATTAAGCAACGGTCGTCGGAGGCGATTAGAAATTTGCAATTTGGGAGAGTTCATCCGTATATATAAGACACGGTTTAACGTGCTTGAATTTGACGCGAGAGTTCATCCGTATATATAAGACGCGGTTTAACGTTGGATTCTTAATAGGCGTTAAAAATTAAAATTGAACATGCGATTTTTTATTTTTAAAATATAAAAACTGACGTATAAATTTAATATCTACCATTTTGATTTTGTCAGATTTATGTAATGCATTTAAAAAAAATCTATTTTAGAAGAATTTAGATTTCTAAATTTTTCATTTTATTGTTAATACAAATTAATGATAGTCATACCAAAGTATGACTAGCTTTTACTATAATTTTCAAATGTTTTTTTGTTTCTTTAAAATTTTTATACACGATTAATCACGAAAATTAAAATGGAGAAAAATACAAATTTCAATGAAATATAATAGAAAGTAAAAACTGTAAAATACTAATTCTAATGAGATATAATACCTAAAAAAACCAACTATTTATTTAATAGGTGAACAAATTTTATAGATATTATTACTCTCAATTTTTATTTTCGCCACATGATAATTTTAATTACACTCTTACTAATTTCAATAGTTTGAAAAAAAAAAAACCATTGCTAAGAATAAATATAAACTTATTTACCCAAAGTCACACATCTCAATGTACTTTTGGAATTTTCTTTCCATAAAACTTATTATTATTGGTAGATAAATCATAAATATCATGTTGATCTTCAAAAACACAAAAAAGATTTTTAGCTCCATATAAAAGATTATGCATGATACAGTAAAATCTCTCTAAATTAATATAGGCGAAATCATGAAATATTATTATTTTATAGAGGTATTATTTATTGAAGAGTGTTTCGATATCAAAAAAATTGTTTAGGGATGAAATCTCAAAGAATTTGAAAGAACCTACTTGTAACACCCCGTATTCAAAATAGACAAAAATGCAGATTTTGAGAAGTTGCAGGTGCAACTTACGGTCACCATCCACGGACCGTAGGTCAGACCACGGCCCGTGCTGGTGGTCCGTGGTTCACCACTGCAACCCCTCCCCAGCCAGCTCAGAAAATTGGTTAAGTCTCGACTCACGGACAGACCCACGGTCCGTAGATCAGACCACGGTCCGTGGTCTGTGTCCGTGGATCAAGACCTCCTTTACCCAGCCTCTGACATGAACTACGGTTGACCAGCACGGACCGTCGTTCGATCCACGGTCCGTAGGTCTGACCGTAGATCGAAGGATAGTAGTCAGTTAGCTGAAAATTCTGATGGGTCAACTTCAGATAGTCATAACTTTTAGCACAAAATTAATTATGTGTCCCATGACCTATGGTTAGATAGATAATTGAATTACCTTTCCAACACCACCGAGTTTGCTAAATTCCGACCTCCGAGTAAAAAGTTATGCCCGTTTTAGTGAAAGACCTGTCGGGCAGACTCGAACTACGGACCCAATCTACGGACCGTAGATTGACCTACGGCCCGTAGGTCCAAACCGTCGGTCACTCCGACAGCAGTTAATTCAGGGGTCTTTTGGTCTTTTCCTATTTCGTTTAACCCCTAAGATACGTCGTTTAGACCCTAAATCATGAGATTTTAATTAGTTTAAGCCTAGAAACATAACTAGAACTTACCTAAGTCAAATCACTAATCAAACTTAGAAGAATTAGAAGCAAGAGAGGAGAAAAAGGTCAAGAACCCTAGTTCAAGAACGCAGCAAGGTTCCTTCAGTTCCAGCCCCGAAATCGAAAGATTTCTCCGTGGAATTCGTCACCAGGTATGTGGGATTTCACTAGTGGGTTCCTTTCACCCATTAGGTCCCTAGAATTCAGTCAGATTCTTGATTCCATGATTATGAACAGACCTAGGGTTTCTAGAATTTCAACAGATCATCATGAATTAGTTATTTAAATGTTCCAAATCAGATTATCATGTTATTACTCAGTTTATCGCATGAATTTCAGAACCCTAGCTATGTATTTCTTTAGTTCTTGAATTACACATGCTAGGTCAGATATTTCAGTATTCAGTTTTACATGCCTCAGTTTATGAATGCATCATTATCAGATTAATTGTTGCATTCTCAGTTTGCATGTTCAGTTTCGAGCTATCCAGTATTTACAGAAATTCAGTCATAACTAGTTAACTACTTAATTCATTGGGAGTAGCATAATACCGAGTTGGACTAGGGTTTCAGCGTACCCATATAGTCCCAGAACTACGAGCCACGTAGGTGTAAGTCCCCTCTGTGGGCAACATCAGTTTAGTGATCACGCCAGCATGCCTCTATACCTCTGGCAGGGTATATTGGGTCCTCTCGATGGGGCGTATACATCGGACTCCACATTTAGCTCATGTGGTTTTATGTCGGTTATTAGTAGCTCCCACAGTTCAGTCAGACTCTATTGCATTGACCATATTTCAGTACAGTCAGTATTCAGTCTCAGCATGTTATAAATTTGGTCATTGCATTCAGTTAGCTCAGTATACAGTATTTCAGTATCTATATCATGTTCAGATTATATCATTGCTCAGTATGCTTTGTTCAGTTATATGTTATTTCAGCTTTACTCCATCCTGCATGCTCAGTACCTTTCAAGTACTGACGCATACGTGCGCTACATCTTCTCGTGATGTAGGTTCAGGTTCTCAGCATCCAGATCACACTTAGATCGATTCCCGATCTTCAGTTCAGCAGAATCAGTTGGTGAGTCCTCATTCTCCGAGGACAATAGTCATGAGTTCTTTTCAGTATTTTAGTCCTTTAGTTTCAGTTTTGCTAGACTTAGCTGGGGCCTGTCCCAGCATTTCTAGTCAGTTTAGAGGCTTATTTCAGACATAGTTAGATTCAGCTTAGTATTTGAGTTTGATATTTCTTTTGTATTAAACTCTCATATTTGATATATTCAGTTATAGTATATGGGTATTCCCCATCTTTTCAGATTTAATTATGAATTAGCTTCCGCATCAGTTTATTATCTTTAGTATGCTCATGATCATGCCAGCAGGGTTAGTTTGGGATCACTTGTGGTCCTAGGTCCCGTGTCCGCGTCTTGGGGGTAGCTCGGGGCGTGACACTACTTGTGAAAACATCATTCATTTACTTGAGGTCATGATAACTTATCTCGGTTACCACAATAAAATGGACGTTAATAACCTATTGAATGGGTGAAAATGATACATGTTCAGAGGTTCAGAGCTTAAAACAAATTGTGGATATCATTGGGAAAATAATATTGATGATAAAGTTGGAGATGATACAATACATTTGGAACCAGTTACGTGTAAGGAAACACTTATCACATGAACTCTTCACAATTTTATGGTGCAGCTAGAAAAGATAACATCGAAACTTTTGGATGCAATAAGAAAAGTTATAGATGAGCTTCAACTATTAAATTTTAACAAAAAAACATAACATAATAGAATCATATGTCACTAAATTGTCTTAGATATATTTGTACTTTTAAAGAATTATTAATATATAATATTAATGGAACCATATATTTATATAGGGGTCTTCTGAAAATATATTATCTTATCGAAATGAGTGATTTTTTCCATTGGCCCAAACCGGGACCGGAAGAAATTATTATTTTATAGAGATTATTAATTGACCGAGTATCAATTTAGTAAGGTTTTACTGTACATGAATATACCCTTTAACTTAACCTCATTTTACATTTATGTCATCCAACTTTGAGTGTGCACAAATATGCACTTAAATTTGTATAAAGTTGAACAAATAGACACACGAATTCTACGTGTCACAATACATGTAGGACACAAATTTCTGTGTAGGATCCCATGTAGGACGTTTGTGTCTATTTGTTCAATTTTATACAAGTTTAAGTGTCTATTTGTCCACACTCAAAATTGGAGAGCATAAATGTAAAATAAGGCTAAGTTAAAAGATATATTTATGTATTATGCCAAAGGATTATATTGTTATTTGAAGGATTCTAAAGGAAGTGAAAAAAAACCTCGAAGCACTAAAGAATTGTTTAATTTTAGGTATTCATCTCTACAATGTCCTTTTAAAATTGTCCTTTTATAAAGTTTATTATTATTATTGTTAGATAACTATCATGTTGATTTTCAAAATACAAAAAGTTTTTTAGCTGCATATAGGAAATTATGTTGTTATTTGAAGGATTATAAAGGAATTGAAAAAGAATCTCGAAGCACTAAAAAATTGTTTATGTTCACGCGATATATTTAAAAGAACTTTTGGAGTTTGGAAAAAAAAAATTAGAATAATGAAACATGACATAAATCATTATGATAATGAGACACGTATGAAATTGTTATAGCTTGAGTACTGTAAATATTTTTTGCGAGAACACATATTTAATGTGAAAAGATTGTTTGTATTATGTGCGAGGATTACGTTAGTACATCTACAACTTACGTTAAAATTTACTTTTTTACTGAACTAAAGTTCATAATAAAAGTATAATACACCAGCACAAAGTAATCTATATATATATGTGTGTGCCCGCGTGAGTGCGTGTTTATGAGCAAAAAATAACAATTTAAAAATTAAAAGCGCGTGTCCATTCACTTTATATCACGATTTCATTTCACCTGACCAAACATGCCCTTAAACGCAGATTTGTACCGTTCTTAACTCACGTACTTTCTGTGCGGGCACACATACGTCGGATTGATTTAATTTTTCAATAAAAATTTGACAAATCAATTACATCAATTTATTAAATCTATAAATCAAATAAGGGGGAAAATATTGTTTTTTTTATTTCAATTTTTAGTCAGTTTTCTCGGTTCTTTCTATTTCCTCAATTTTTGCACAAATTATACGGTAAATAAAAGTGTACAAGCAAGCTTCAACAAAATATAACAATTGAAAAATTACGAAACTACTAGCAAATACTAACAAATTCAATACATACGACGTAACAAGTAACAACAATGCATTAATAATTAACTACACCAAATAAAAACTTTATGAAAACTATTGCAATAACTTAGTTTTGTGAATTATTCAGTTGGAGTGTTGTTATTATTATTACTTTTTTTTTAGTACCAAATCAAATCAAGAATAGTCAATTTCTTTTTCAACGTTAAACCAGCCACAAATCTCTTTTTTCGATTTGATTTGGTTCAGGATTCAATTTGGCTGCTTGACGATTTGACATGTACACCCCAATTTTCATGTGTCAAAATTAATGTATTTCATTTGTGTTCGATTTATGTAATGCACTTTTAAATTAATGACGTTATATAATTTGCAAGAATAAGACAAATCACCTTTTAGAACATGTCAAATTATATCATTTGTGTTTATCTACTCTGTCATGAATATAATATAATATAAGATAAATTATGATGGAAAACACCAACTGTTCTTAACATCCTCCTTTGCTGCAATGCAATTCTTATGTTTGAATATACGTTAGTATTTAGTAAAAACTTTATTATTGGAATGCACAATAATATAACTTTACAAAACATTAAGCAAATGAATGAATTAACAAATAACAACAACAAATGTTACTACTTTGGCTTCAATTTCACCGTCTATCAGGTGTAACAGGGAAGCCAATTCCATGCCTCCTAGTTGGAAAGACTACAAATAACAAACTACAAATCACCCCAATTCCAATAGGAACAACATCAAGTACCTGTTTTGTGTCATGATCTGGTGTAGGATAAAAGCAATTCACCACATTTTTGTCTCTCAAAGCCACAGCAATAAATACAAGAACAGAGAGAACAGCATGAACAAAATCAATAAATCCAACTCTATACCTGTTCAATTCACCAGGCACACCAGAAATTGAAGCTGCCTGGTAATCGAAAATCCACAAACCTTTGAACGTAGCTAATCCATAGTAAATTTGCCCGTCTGGTGCCTTGTAGCTATCGGTGAAACAAGCTAAAAAGCATGAAAATGCAAGTAGTGCAAGGAGGATTAATGTCATTGGACGCGATGCAGTGTCACACGTTCCGTTGTTGGTGAAAATTGGGATTAGTAGTTGGAATGCTAAGAGTGTTCCTGTTGGGAGAAGGTTGGCTAAATGTGCTGTGCTTTCTAAGGCACGTTGAGAAATGGACGGTCGCGGTATAGGCGGCCGTTCTGGTATATGATTGTTGTTGTTATTATTGTCGTTGTTGTTAGTGGGAAGTAATGGGATTTCGGATGCATCGGGTGATGTGGATGTTTGCTTAGAGGAGGTTGATCTGGCTCGTAGAGACATGTCCATCAATACTAGAACAATCAAATATAAAGACTCTTCAGGAATTCGAATGCTAGAAAATTACAATGAAATTGAAGGAGGAGAGGAGATTGGAAATGAGTATGAGCTAGCTAGGTATATATGATGATAATATAAATGAAATTGATCACAATGGGAGTTTTATGCGTGTAAGGGAAAGAGGAATATATGTTTAATTTGGTATTATATTGACCTAACAAAGAGTAGTTATTATTTATATTATATTATACTATGAGGAAACTTCTTGCTTGTCCAAAATGACTCTATGTCTTCCTTATTGCGCTGGCAATACACGTTAATATTAGCTTTCAATATATGTTTGCTTCTAAGAATTGAATGATTCATTTTTCACATTTAAAAAAATATATATAATTGAATGTTTTAGACTAAAGTCAAAAAACAAACTAGTGGAAGGGAAGTTGGTGAGGTGTGACTTGGCACAACTTTTTTTTGTTAATTTGCTTCCTTCTTATGTGGTAGAAAATTGAAGATTAGTTATTGGTTTTTTTAAAACAAATTGAAGAACACTATTATTGAATCTTTGTTGAGCTTGATTATTGAAGAAGATAAAGTGGTCTATTAATTAGTACATTTTAAAGTATGGATTGAATTTACTGACAATAAAGAATTGTTGAGATTGACATTAGAATGTGGGATATCAATTTTGGAGTTATTTGAACTTGTTCTAGACCAAATTTGAAGCAAAAAATGTATTGGTAATTTTTTTACACAATAAGTTATGGATCTATCAATTGGTACAACTTCTGGCAATCCTTTTAAGATTTTGGCCGTAATCTTGGCAATTCATAGAAACAACTGTGATCTGATGATCCATGACAAGATTAGTGTTTAAAATTCTAACGACTCGTTCTTTTTCTACTTAATTATGCGGATTTTAATTTTGAGAACTTTTTAAAACAGTGTCAAATCTTTGAACAGTGACACGTAAAATATTATGTAAATATGGCGTGTACGACTAGTTTGAATTCAAAATTAAGCTACTTGTCTAGGGGTCGTAGACTCAAAACCTTGTAACCTCTACGGAATTAAAGGATTCTCCATAAAACTGGCGTAGAAGTCAAATTTCTCTGGAGCCAAGAAACCACATGTTACCTTAATAATGTTCAAGTGCAAAATTTCCCTATATAGCCACGCGAAGAGCATACATGCATTAGCCGGAGAATTTACCTTCATAAATCTACCGTTTGCTGCATTTTTCCGAGTATACATAAATCTGTACAACAACAATATTCCAAGTAGTGATGCTACAAAAGTGGTTCTGCAGAAGATGACCAAAAAAGAAACCAATAAGCAAAGTTGATTTTCTCCACAATAGCAAAAAACTGCAAATGATTACCCATTTATAAATGCTACATTTAGACACTCAACTTACATTACAAGAATTTATGTACATAAATATTCTTAGAAGTGCCTTTTGAAAAGAGACATATAAGTTTCAAAGCACAAGATATATACCCATCATCTAGATTCTAGATCTTCATTCAGTGTCTGTTCTTCCTTTTATTGCAAGCACAGTCAGGTTTTGCTTTCATTCCCCAAGAACCAATTTTTGCGCTTCACGTCCATGCCTAATAGTGATTTCTGCAAGAGCAAAAGAAGCTTATAAAACGTGCTCTATGCGTGGACTAAAGACCTGTTTTAGCACTAGGTATACAAGGATTGGTTGATTCAAATTGGAATTGTCAAGTCATCCATAATGATCTAGTCAAAACAAGAATTCATTTTGATTGAACAGACAGTCTAGTTTGCTTTGTTTATTGTAAGGCATATCTCATTACAAGATTCATAAACTATTTTCATTGTATTTGGGTAGTAGAACCTTCCACTCCCGAGAACTGACAGGAAAATGCACAAAAATAAGAGCTAGCACACAACAGTTTAGCTAGTGGTTAAGAACTTCCTAAATTGTATCAAATCAGCTACGTTTTGATTCCTTCTGGAACATAAGCCAGTTAGACTCCGTTGCATTGCATCTTCAACCAATTTTTGCTGGACTCCACTTATAAATATTCAACACTGAATTATGAGTTTAGCACAAACTAAAACCACAGAAAAACCTTCTTGTTGGTTAACATAATTCAACTTTTTGGCAGAGAAAATTTTTCTCCCTTGCTCATTTGTACGAGGGATATGGGATAACTAATTGCGAGATTAGTTTTTGGATGAACTTATCTCATATTTGGTTAACATAAAATCGTGGGATAACTTATCCCGGATTGTAGTGTTATTTATATGGGATAACAATCATGGGATGACTAATTCACATAATAATTAATCCGGGATAACTTGTTCCCAAACCAAAATAACCCTCAGAGACTACTAAGGATACTTTCTTTCTTTAATAGTCTAATTAAACTTAAACTCCAATATAGCCACCACAAGTCCACCAGAAGAGATTAAGATTTAACCAAAAAAAAAAACTTCAGACAATCATTTCGGAATATAATTACACCATATAACAGAAATCTCCTTCGAGTACTTAATGCCAAACAATATAATTAAAACATTCATTTAACCAATTTCAGAATGTAATAGACATGTAAATTGATACTAGATAATCTGAAAAGATATCATTTTGACCTAATCTTTCAAGTCCAGAATTGCAGAACAAACAATAAGCTCAGCAACTAAAATTTCAGACTGATCACATACAGAGAGAGTAACCTCAGGTAGGCGACTTCAAAACCCCCAAAAAAATTGAAAATGGAGCTTCGGAAAAAATGGCAAAAAAAAAATTTGGACCATTTCTCGATTTGTGCGTGTCATCCTTGCGCAGGGGCCATGCTAATCTTCTCTGTATCGTTCCAATTTTATCGGATGTCCCCGAAGGGACAAGCTAGACTGTTAGGTTTCGCCATATAAACAACACACAGCTTTTCTGTGCAAGCGATGAGGGAGAAATCGCTGGTTGAGTCTTCACGCTAACACGGGCCTGGACTCGTTTTTGCGCTTGTTTCAATGAAGCCCACTTGTGTGATGACTTAATTGTAATGGGCCGGCCTTCTTATATTACTTGGTTGGGCCCAAAAGGGTAGATTCCATACCAACAAGACCTCATATTTTAAAATTTATCTATTTCACACCAACTAAAGTAAAACTTTAGCATCGAGGTAGGGTTGTATAAAGACATGATGCAACTGAACTAAGTGAAAAAACTCGCAATACGAGAGAAAATTTTATTCAAGTTAGGTAGGATGAAGATCGAGCGCAATATGTGTATGTCTGTATTTTAAAGCTTAAGTTAGTTGTAAGTGTACATATGTGAAGGAATCAGATGTATGTGTGACCAACTGAATTCAATGTGTGTGTTTTCAAGCCGTATGCGCATAACACTAGCCAAACTACGTGGGAGATCAATTGTATGTGAATGTACATGTTATACGTATGACAATATTCGATAAAGTAACATCATTTTCTAATGGTCAACTGAAACACTGATTAATCGAAGCAACGGTGAACGAATAAGGTTGGAGTGGACAAATCACTTTATTGAATTATATTGAATATGTTTTTGTTGTTTAATTGCTTTTTTAATACAAAATAAAATAAAATAAAATAATAATAATAATAATAATAATAATAATAATAATAATAATAATAATGTACACTAACAATATAAATACATTTATACAATCAAGTAACTAATTGAGTAACTATATAAATCGGTTGATATCAATTGTTGATTTAGTAAGAATTGTAATTGATATGTTGAAATTTATAAATATAATAGATATTTATTACATTATACAATTTAAATTCGATTTAAAAAGATCACACCTCAAAACAATGACAATTTTTTTTCAAAAAAAAAAAAAAAACAATTACAAATAGTCACCAAGAAAACAAAAAACATGTAAGCTTAAAAACAAATAAACCGCAACACCATATAACTGGCAAAAGGACCTCTTTAAAATTAAATCAAATATCAATAGCGTAATTTGCTCATAACCAAATTTGAGGGGGGTTAAGTGACATCTTTATAAAAGCGCCGGGTTAATGTTTTAACAAAATTAAAAATATATATTATAAATAGTATTATCTCCAACGTGGAAGGGGAAGGCGAAAAGTGAAAACAAAGAAAATAAGAAAAAAAGGGGTTTTATGGGTCTTGGCTTCTTGTAATTCCGACATAGTTTTTCCTTCCGAACCTTAAAATTTTCAAATATTTTTGGATATTTGAATTCAACCGCCAACGTATATCAACGCAAAAGAAAATAGAGAGTAAGTTTTCCCCAACTGAAGGCTTAAATTGCAGAAGAAAAGGTGAGATTCTTGGCCCCAAGTACCTTAAAGTGTTTGGTTCTTCAAGTGATTCATGTTTTCTTTTATTTAATGGGTGTTTTATCTTTGTTTTCTTGTTTTGGGTAAATGGGGTTTTGTTGGTTTATCCAAGATTGTGTCTTTCACTTCTTGAATCTTGATTCTTGATCCTTTGACAGATTTTGAGTTCGTTTTTCCCTTTTTCTTTTGGTAATTGTCTTTTTGATTCTTGGGTTGTATGCTGGTTTATCAATGTAGTTATTCTTTTGATAATTTGTTCAGCGTTTGAATTAGATTGGTTTATTTCTTTTATTTTCTCTTATAAATCTTGGTTGTGGGTGGATTCTAGGGTTTGGTTTTGTTTTCTCTCATTGTTGGGTTTTTGAGAAGAGATTTAACATTGGAGTGATGCATTATAGTTTTGTGTTTTTTGAAGATTACTTGTATCTTAGTTAACTTCTCTTTATGGAAGGCTAGCACTGAAAGAATCTGGATAAATTTGGGAGTGTATTGCAATTTCTATTTTTTTAAATCAACTTTCTTGTTTTGAGGTGTTGTAGATCAATGACAAGTATGACTATATGACACATTAAGACATTGGTGCTTTATGCCCAAGTCAGGGCTCTTGAATTTGTTTTGTGATGGATTTCATTGTGCAGTTTGCAGCTGAAGTGGATGATGTTCTTTAATCTTTTCTAACTGGGCCGTGCTTATTGCGATTTTTGTAGGCTGA